CCCCGCGTGCTACGCTCCTGTGCATTTTTCCTTTGCTATAATGCCAGTAGCAAATAAATATCTGACCATCCTTAGATTTATTTCAATCTTTAATGGTACTACGAAGCAGGTTCTATACATGCGTCCCTTGGTACACTCTAGTATTAAGCTTTAAGAATCAATATAATATACAATTTGAACACATGGGTAACTGATATTTTCAGATTGATATATATATATATATATATATATATATATATATATATATATATATATATATATATATATATATATGAAGCACTAAAAATCGATTTAGGTCAGTTGTGGCTGTGATTCGCACACGAACTTCCGATCACGGAGCGAGCGCTCTGACGACTGAGCTACCTTGAAGGCTCATTAAATTTTGAAATGTTAATTATAAGTAACACTTTGGCGAATAATTATAGTATTGTTGAAACAAGATAGTACAGTTCTTGAATAATGTTCAACAATACTATTCGTCGAAAGTGTTAATTAACATTTCAAAATTTAATGGGGCTCTTGAATTTTAAATTATTAGTCTTCTTCTAATTCTGTTCTACATGTACAATTTACTTCATTACTATTTCAGTATCTAAATTATTATGTAATAGTAATATGTGGGAGAGAATACAACGTTGTACGATTTAACACTTCGCATTAATTAAATCGGTCGTTTATGTAAATCATAAAGGAGACAGATTCCGTAGGTCGAGAGTTCAACCCCGGGTTGGGGCGGAAGGGGTGTTGCTAAAACGCGGAACGGAAAACGGAACGGAACGGAAAATATGATACCAGTTTATAGCCCTTGAAAAATACAAATTATACCAAAAACGATATAAATTATATGTGTTGTTCATATTTATCCTTGATTATCAAGAATGAGTTGATCTCTTCATGTATACCGGTATTCTCATATGAAGTTTCCAGTACAAAAGCAAAGCATAGGGTACGGAAAACATGAAATATATACACGTGGTATATATAAAACGTTGTGGTGAGATATGAGTGAATTAACTTTATAAAAGACCACTCTGATCAACATGAATAGCCAGTATTCGATATTTATATGTGAAAACACAACATAATTTTCGATGCACAGGCACCTAAAGCGCGAATAACCATGATATCGTACAACTCTGCATCCCCCACCCACCCCCATCCCCCGTATTTGGCCAACTTGTAAAACTGGAAAACAACACTGACCGATTGCACAGAATAACATTAAAATTTCTATGATGGAGAAATCACACATTTTCCAGAAAATGCACTCTCGTAATTTATATATTATTTGGTGGTGGTGGTGGTGGGGGGGGGGGGTTGATGCATAGATGTAGCCTACGTTGTCCTCGCTTCAAGTGCCTGACGGTGGATAGCGCGGATTCAGGATATTTTTAGGGGTGGGTGGGTTAATGTGTACTTTTCCCATCAGCTTCAGAGGGGTCCATGATTTTTTTTTTTTGGGGGGGGGGAGCATTTTTCTTAATAAGTATTTACTTTACAATGTACACGTAATAACTCCGCAAATTTCAGGGGGTCCGAACCCCATCCCAAACCCACTCTAGATCCGCACATGCCTGTAGTTTTAATAAGCATGTCCTCTATTCTTTCATTAATGTCAGTGATCGTTATCTGGAACACAAATGTATACATAATTATTCTCTTTCTCTGCCCCCCCCCCCCCCGTTTTAAAACACCATTGCCCGTTTCATAATAAATGATAAAAAAGAGAGTTTTGTCTTTGGTGAATAAGCTTTAAAAATTAGATTTGGACAAGTGATGAATGAGTATCAGATAGATACTTGGGCTGTGTGTCTAATTAGTATGTATTTCATTGACTGTCGCATGTAGTTCTTGGGGGGGGGGGGTCATGAATAAATTGCATTGTTATGCTATTTTTTTAATGAGACATAAACTATATGATAAAGAATACTGGTTCCTGTCTGATTTATATATGCTTAAAGTAAATAATTTGATATAAGATTTTCCGTTTTCCGTTCCGCGTTTTAGCAACACCCGGGCGGAAGTTGGTATCCATATTAAAGTGAATTTCCTTGTACTTTCTATATTAACATTTCTTCGAGGCTTATACTTGTACCTGATAAGGAACAAACTTGATACTAATATAGTTTGTGACCAAGGGTATACCTTGCCCTTTGACAAGATCATTTTGGACTAAGTCAAGGTCACAGCTAAAAAGTAACAACAACAAATAATGAAATAAAGGTTGTTTGTGACTAAAGAATATGCCATGACCTTAAGCCAGAGTAATCTGGATAAACTCAAGGTCATTGGTTTAAAAAATGTAAAATTATTGCTTTACCCATAAATTTGAAGTGAGAAATGTAGTAGATTATAGTTAAATCGGAGATACTTAGTGACAACAGGGTAACACTTCTGCACTACTGTTATTTTGACAAGTTCAAGTGTAAAATGAATAAAATCCATAACATAGTTTTGTAATGACATAACTTAAGAAGAGCATACCTCTCCCTCTTGGAGTTGATCTTTATAATAGGAAATGTCATGACCCTTAAAAAAAGGTTATTTAAACAAGGTCAAATTCACAGAGTTCAAAAGTGTTAAGACAAAACTGAAGGAGCAGCAAAAAGTCATATATGGACATATGTTGCTCATGATCAACAGCTGTGTCATGATCCAATGCCATAATTATTTTCTTAAGGTCAAGTTAACATAACTTGGAATATAAATATTCTTTGGACTGACCCCCCCTCCCCCACCCTCCACCCCCCACCCCCAAAAAAGAATTAAGATCAGAAAAAAAAATCTTTCCATATTTTAAAACTTTTATTTTTATTTGGGGGAGCTACTGACACCCAACTTAAGGTGAAATATCCCTCTGCTCTAAAGGAGAAGGGTGAACATTGAGTGCAGAGAGCCTATAGCTTCAGATATATAAAAATCATGTTCAATTTGTGAATTTAGTATTTAGAGTTAAGTTCTCATTATTGAAATTTATGGAATTATGATAAGCAAAACTTTTCTCAGGAAATTTTTCTCGGCGAAATTTATTCTTTCATTAAAAACATAATGTGGTATTCGTGGGTTCTAACCCTAGCAATAAAATCCCGAGTATCATTTTCTTTCGAGACTAGCACGTTAACCACTAGACTACACAAGTCCTGATGAATAGTGGCATTTAAATCATGTTTGTGATATGACCTTTGATTTAATGGACTTCAAGTATTTCTTAAAAAAGTTGCGAAGGTTATGTCATAAAAATATTTTTAAGGTATAGTGGGTCGTTGCTCCATATTTTTGGTAACCAAAAAATGTACATTTTTATGCAAACTTAGAGGATTAACTTTCAAAAAAAATGGATTGAATATCCACTCATCGAAAAATAGAGATATAGGTATGAGAAAATGACTCTTTTTGCTCTCTTTAGTGTGTGTGTATAATATTCCATAAGCAAATAATTTCAATCTTTGCGAGAGTTTTGCAAATTGTAGAGATTTTACATAAAGTATATCTTACTTTTAGACGAAATATCAAGGAAAATTTTGATATAATTGAGATTTAATTTTTCACCTTCATGTTTGTCACACTATGGGCTTTTCGCTCGTCATATTCACCCATCTCCTTTCACCATTTTTTTTTTAAATTCCCAACATTGATTTTCATCAACAACAATAGCATTAGATTCAAATGGAAAATAGTTTGAATTATTAATCGTTGCTTACTTTTTCAAAAATGAATATTACGTCTAATCATGAAATGAAGAAAATTTCATATGGTGAGTAGAAAGATGAATAATTTTTTATCTCAGCATAGAATTAAAAGTATGAGTTATATATGAAAATAATATTTACTGTCATACCTATTTATTTCATATCAGAAAACATAATGGAGCGTTGCTTTTTAAATCAGAATAACACATTGTCTCAGTGCTTGTAAAATAAAAATGCATCCATCTACAAGAGTTATCATTCCATCTACAGGAGTTATCTTTCTTCAAAATATTTTTAAGAGAAAAAAATTAATTAATTACAAAAATTCTGCATCGAAAATTCCTGTAACAATTAAGAGAATTATATGTTAAGAGATAGATACGATCGTATATATCAATTTTAACAGTTTATAGGAGCTGAGAATAAATTTTTTTAGGTAAACTATAATAAGTAATTAATAAAAATATTGGCAATAGAAAATAGTAAATCAGTAGTAATATAGCAATCAGTAGCAATAGTAAATTATTTGTAAAATAATTCAAAATTGATAGAATTGACTTTATAATGGTCCTCAATAGTAAACCGCGGCAAGACAGTTCGAATAATTTCCTTCTAAAGTTATCTTATTAGAGGGGCATTACATCTTAATTAGTTTAGTAAAACTTGTGTACTCCGGACACCACGGTTTCATAGGGATTGGTCCAATTAGACAACTTTCAATATATTTTAAACAACATTTAAAACAAATCAATTTAATGCAAGGGATCAAAAATTTACATTGTAATAGGAAAGATTTTGGGATACAAAACATCCGGATTAAACAAGTTTTAGTCTATTTATATTATTGATTAAAGTGATTTAGTTCTAAAACTGTTGTTTAGTCAAGCAGTACATGTGTAATGAAATAAAATGTCATGAAAATTTGAGGACTGAAAATAAAATATTCTTCAGAAGCTCCGTCTTTGAAACTAACTAATGAAATCATAATTTTTTTACAATTAAAAAAAGATGTCATACTTTTCTTTCTAAAAGGTTACTTTGCTTTCATTTAGATTTTCTATGTCTAAAATTGTCCCTCTAATTGTGTTATTATATTGAGATCAGAGGATGGATGGTAAACTGGTAGTTTTTTAAAACTTTTTTTCCTCATGTACGTTATCAAAATAGTGCAAAATTTTAGTTTTTGAACAAGATGTTGGTGATTTTTGCATCAACAATAACAGAATTCTTTGTCTTTCACATAAATACTTTGGACACGAATTTTCCGTGAAAGAATAGAAAACCTGACAATTTGTATTATATCAACTGTAGGCTTACCATTGGTGGTTAGAGGATATGTACCTAAAAATAAGATTACCGCTGCCTATCAACTCTAATCCAGGTATGGTCTTCCCAAGCCAGAGTTTTTCCGACCACAGAGCTCAGTTACGGTATGTACATGTGTATAACATAGCGTCCAATATTGTGTCTTCTAAATATCCACAATTCAGTGTGTGCTTGAGAGCTAATAAAGCTTGTTCCAGATTTTGAAAGATAGATTTTTTTCCCGATAGCCAACATTATCATGAAATCATTTTTAAAATTATATTGTTATACCGTACTGTAATGTTCAGTTTTCAAATATTTATTTTCTTTAAATTTCAGATACGCTGCCAGATTGATATCGGGGATATTGGATTATAAGACTATCATTGATGCGTAATGTCCTCAATTTTATAAGAATCTGCATTTAATTTTGGACCTTTTTAAACTTGAATATGATGGCTACTTATAGTGGTCACAATGTTAAAATAAATGGTATTAAGTCTTTTAAAAAAGTTCCTTAATATTATAATTCAAGTAATATTCGGGGATATAATACGTTAACACAGGGGTTGGTTTCATAAACTGACTTTCTTTCCATTTACAAGTGTGATATAACAATGGCAGAGTTGGAAGTTCTGTCATGACAATTGTTGTTTTACTTTGTAGTCGAGGACTACCTGTGGATAGAGCACGACATAATAAGAAAGGGCAACCCCTGTGTATGGAGCAATATTACAGACTGTTCACATCCTATAGGGTTCCTGGGATCAAAAAGGACTCTCTGACCTCCAATAATAGCCACCTTCTCCCAGATCCAGAACACATTATTGTTGTTTGCAAAAACCAGGTATGTATGATCCTGGATGGTTGTATGGCATCGGAAATCGGCGTCGTATTGTAAACCTTCCGCACAGCAAACCTTCCCCCCGGAATATTTACTCGTACATAGAAAAGCTCCCCCTTGGAATAATTGCTGTATGGTGTATTGCTGTATTACCACCTGTACGGGTGGTAATCCAACTTACACCCATACCCCCCTTTCTAAAAAGGAAATTCTTCAAAATCATTTGTCCTTTTTAGATACTTTCAATATTCCCAACAATCAAAATGAATTTGAATTACTATACCTTTACTGGATTCCTAATCTTCATAAAAATCCTTACAAAGATACATAGCGGGTTCCAGTAAATGTTCTACCAAGCCCCTTTCTTTACTCCTCACTAAAATATTTACTGTAATGAAGGAGAAACTTCAGGAGTACTGTACAACAGTATATTCGAGAAGTGGTGTAAATCAGATGTGGATACTTAAAAACTCCGAAGAACTTTTGGAAAATTTGAAATCACAAAATTTTACTGAAATCAATAGCATCAAAACGTACGACTTTTCAACACTTTATACAACCATTCCCCACGATAAATATAAGTCCAGGCTTTTTGACATTATAGACAGCTGCTTTTTCAATAAAAATGGAACTCGTAAATATACTTACCTTTTCATTAGTCATTTACAGAATAATTTTGTTAAAAGCACTCTGATTGTACACACAAGTACACTGAAGTTGATATGAAAAGGATGCTTGAGTTTCTGATTGACAATATCTATGTAGTTTTTGGAGATCAGGTCTTCCAACAATCTGTTGGAATTCCCATGGGAACCAATGGCGCCCCCTTATTAGCAGACCTATTTTTGTATTCATATGAAGCAGAATTTATTCAAAAACTTCTACATGAGAAGAAGAAAACAATTGCTGTGGCTTTCAACTCGACATTTCGATATATCGACGACGTATTATCAATTAACAATAGTTACTTTCATTCATATGTTGACTCGATATATCCCAGTGAGCTTGAAATAAAAGATACCACAGATTCTGACACATCTGTTTCATATTTAGATATTTTACTAGAAAAAGACGTTAATGGTTAATTACCTAACAACAAAGCTTTATGATAAACGTGATGACTTCAACTTTTCAATCGTCAATTTCCCTTACTTATGTAGCAATATACCCTTGTCTACCTGCATATGGGGTTTATGTCTCTCAGTTGATTCGATACGCAAGAGCATGCTCTACGTATGAACAATTTCTAAAACGAGGCAAGCTATTGACAAACAAGTTGATGAAACAAGGATATCAACAATCTCGTTTGAAGTCATCTTTTCGCAAGTTTTACGGTCGATACAATGACCTTGTCAGCACATACAACCTATCATTAAGTCAAATGCTGACTGACGTTTTTCATACCAATTGTTAGGCCATTATTTATATACTGAACTGTCTACGGATTTCTCCGTTATTACCCGATCATGACAAGGAGCACACGGCGGGTGTGACCGGTCGGCAGGGGATGCTCACTCCTCCATGGCACCTGATCCCACCTTTAAATTTTGAGGTCCGTGTTGCTCTGCTTCAGATTTGTATCGTTTCATTGGACTTTCGAGATTGAATGCTGTTCGTTATCTTCATATTTCATGTATAGCAAACCTCTCCTACATGTATGTAGCATTTTTTCGATATCCTACAAGATTCCGATAAATATAATACTTTTGTTCTTCTAACTAATTTTAATATGGAATTATGGATAAGGGGCTTTCTTGATGGCCCATTGTTGTAAATTGTAACATTTCATGAAGCCAATGCAATTATAATTGTTTTTTAAAAACTTGCACTCTCCCCAGTGTTACGAGAAATGAAATTTATAGGTGTGATCCTGAAAAGTGAATACTGTGATTTATAAATAATGTGTAAAAATTGCATGCTTACAAAATTAAACTTATGATTATGTTATAGGACTTAAGCACATATATGATGAACAATGCTAAAATATAATTATATTTCCAATAGAATCTTTTAACGGTTGGGTGGGAAGGTTTACTAAGTGGAAATATAGTACTAGGATATAGTAAATCTTTCCCGTGGGAAAGGTTTTCTATATATGGAATCTTTCAGGGGATACTTTACTATGGGGAAGTTTTATTAAATAACAACGGTAATATCACTATGTTCGTTAACCGCGATGAGTTAATCACACTAGCTTTCATGAGTTCAAACAAGAAATACTAGCTTCATTCTTTATTATATTGTTGCCTGCTTGGCGAAGGTCGCGGAGATCACTTTGGATGGGATCATATAAACCGAGGTCCCGTCTCACAGCAGATACTGACAAAAACAGATCCTTTATTGCTCAATGGCCATAGGTTCCGAGTACAGGTTTATATTTGCTGCCTTCCATCGGTAATTGATTGTCCCAATATGAGACAGAGAATGATATTCTCTTAGGGACGTAAAGCAAACAAAATATATATCTCAAAATATAATACGATTGTTCACAACAGTAGTTTTTACGGCAATAAAATTTTAGAACGCAATTCGCAGTTTGCAATTCGCAATTCAAAGCGAACTGCATTCTAGAACACAGTTCGCAGTTAAAAAAATTTAACATGTGTCACAGGATCTGGAATTTTGAGAGTAGGGTACTAGTGGTCAGTTACCAATTCAGTGAAAAAAAATGATGATGGTATCTTCTCTAGTTTCCGAGATCCACCCCTCTAGTTTTTATGCATACTACATGTATGCATAAAATACAAGATATGAACTGGAGACTTGTTAGAGATGATAGAACATGACTTTTAGATATGCAAAATCAACCTTATCTACAATTATCTAACATGGTTTTTATAAGTATATTCCTTGCTTGTATATTTAAATTACATTGTAAAAAGAAATGAAATTCATCATCAACAGCATTACATGAAGTGCATAATCTTTGTTTTCGAGGTATTTTCTTATGTCTACCAGTTTCATTCAGTAGGCAGTGGTCACTTGTTCGAAACTTAGTTAGCAATTGTCTATTCTTGAAACTATTTTCAAGCATAAGATATTCTTCCATATTGAGATTGTGTTTTATTTTACTGTACAAATACAGTTTGGAGTTTTCTGTCAATTTGGATACTTTTTCCATAGTTTTGCCTTTATAATTATCTAGTACTATTTTCTTAAACTTCTTTTTAACCGAATTTCGAACGTTGTCAAAATTTTCATCTTTTTTCCTGTAGTCATTGCTATTTAAATAATTTTCTTTAAATATAGACAGTGCAAGGGTATGCCACGAGTAAAATCCCTCTTCATGCAAAGACATATTGATATTATATGATTCTTCAATCATGGGGTTTACATTCTGAGAGTTTAGTCGTACAAAGTACATCATAACTTGGATTTTAATAAAAGAAGAAACTGGAAGTCTACCTACATGTAGTTCACACAATGATGAAATATTGCATGCTGTTTTGTTGAGTCCTAGAACTGTTTTACAATATCTAGCATGTACTTTTTCATAGACAGATTTTTCTTGTAAAGCGAGATTATCACATGAGTTGTTATTTTTCATTGCTCTAAGTATTGCTCTGTATGAAGGAAGATAATCATCTATAAACCAGATTTCACTATTAAAGCATAGAATAGGGCGAATAGGAGTGTCAAATAATTTACAAGACAAATTCACAGGTAATTGTGTGAAATTTGAGAAGATTTTTCTTAGGGAGAATATTACTTTTAAGCCTTTCTTGGACAGCTCTAGTACTCCTTTGTTTAAACTACCTTTGTGATCAATTATTGTTCCAAGGAAATTATATTCTTTTACTTCTTCAAGAGGGTGATTATCATAATAAAGAACAGGAGTTGGTTTATATATTTTTTGAAAAGTTAAAACTTTTGTTTTTGTAGTATTAACAGTTAGTTGCCAATTTAAGCAATAATTCTGCAATTTGTTCAGTGTATTCTGTAAACCAATATGGGACTCTGAGAGCAGAACAAGGTCATCTGCAAAGCTTAAAATAGATACATGTGTGTGTTTGAGAATAAGTGGATCACAGGACTGATCAAATGTGTCATGTAGGTCATTAATAAAACAGTTGAATAATGTTGGAGTTAGACTATCCCCTTGTTTTACCCCTCTATCAAGTTTAAAATAATTGGAATGAGTGTTTTCGAATTTAACAGCTGATTCACATGATCTATACATACTTTGAATAACTTTAAAAAAATTTTGGCCAATTTGATTGTTCATTAATTTGAATAAGAGGCCATTATGCCAAACAGTGTCAGATGCTTTGCGCAGATCTACAAAGCATGCATATATTTTTGTTTTATTTCGAACAATATAATTATTTTGTTATTAAAGTTTTAAGAACAAAAAGGCTATCTGTTGTTCTGTGATCTGTTCTAAAGCCAAATTGTTGTTTTGAGAATAATTTATCATAATGTAGCATTAATCTTTTAAGTGTAGCACTGAAAAGTTTTGCTTTGCAGTTCTGAAGTGAGATACCTCTATAATTATTTAGGTCATTCTTATCTCCAGATTTATAGATAAGAACAATGAATGATTTTCTCCATGCAGATGGGTATTCTCCAGTATGCAATATTAAGTTAAATAGTTTAACTATAGATTTACAAGTAACCACTGAACTATGTTTTAATATTTCATTTGGAATAAGATCTGGTCCTGCACTTTTATTAATTTTAAGCTTATGAATTAAGTTCTTAACTTCAGTGATGGTAAATGGTTGGTCAGTAATTAGGTTTTCTTCTAAAAGGTTTTATACTGAGTTACATGATTTTCAATCCTTTTCTGAAACTCTTTATTGTTTTTTATAACTCTATTGATGTTAACTAATATATCTGCTGTATTATTAGAGCTTTTATTTCCTTTGAGAGAATTAAGCACTTCCCAATATTGTTTGGGGTTTGTTTCTTTCCAATTCAATAATTTATCATATAATTCTTTCTGGAATAAATACCTTTTTTGTTTTACCATTTTTTTCATTTTTTTACAGTGAGTAAAATAATCATGCCTAATTTTTGAATTAAAAGGTTCATTTTTCATCTTAGTTCCTAACATTATCACAGTTTTTTTTTTCAAATCTTTAATCTGAGTGTCAAACCATGGTTTTTTTTTCTCTTAGCCTTTTTTTCTTAAAATTGATGATTTTACAAGATTTCATTGCTAAATCTTGTAAAATTGAATTCAGTGCTACTGTAGCTTTATCTATACCTTCTGCATTTTGTTCATAATTTGTATTTTCGTAAGATAAAATTTGTTCTAATAATTTAGGATCAGACATAGCATCTAATAATTTAGTTTTTGAAATATTTTCCCATTTATACGAACATTTCAGAAATTTCAACTGTAAAGCTCTTGAGCTAGAAGTAACTTCACTATTTAGCTTATTGCACTGAATATACACAGATATTTGTGCATGATCTGATAAATATGTGGGATCAGATATTGCAAGTATTTTTAGATAATATTTTTGATACTTCGATCTCAAGTTCAGAAAAAATCATCATTGTAGTAGACAGAGTTCACAGGTGGAATCATAAAGATCTTTTGAAAAATTAAAAAAAGTTTTGTCTAGTTTCAACCATAATCTATTTTCTGAAGATGTTGCATCTTTGATTTCAGTTATTCCCTTATGTAATATAGTTTTATATGCAATGATGATTCCACCACTAAATCTCTTAGATCTTTTTTTCTTCTTTCTACATTTTTGTAAAATATTATATTGTGGTATAGAAATATTAGGATCAGTACCTTTCCAAGTTTCAAGAAGTATATTAATGTCATGTTTCAGAAATGATAGGAAAAAATTTATACCCAAAAGATAATATCAACTGCTTGTTTCAATCAGAGGAAGAAAAAAATGACAATCTAGTGTCTGATGATGGTAAAAATGAAAATAAAAAGTGCGTGTTTGCTTGTTGGCACCAAGGATCTTGTACATATTCAGAAGAGAGTAAGGAGGGTGTTGTGCTTCCAATGCTTTCATACGTATTATGACAAGTATATCAATGTTAGAAAAATTAAAGAATGGCGACCAGAAGATAAAGATTTTATTTTAAGAAATTGGGATGAGCTGTATCAGCATGGTCGTCAATATTTTACCCATTCATATATTACATCCAAATGATTTCCAAATTTTCGTTTGTTTTGAGAAAACTTTGCTGCAATTGAACCATTTGTATGCAAACCATTCAAAGTTGTGTGGATTCAGTTTGCTTAACAATTTATATATGGATCCTAGGTGAGAATTGGCTAAAAATGGGATTAAAGTTGAATGTATGTGTACAGGAAAAAATCTTCATAATTGCAAGACATAGTTATTAATTTTAAAACATCTCATTGTTGTGCAGATTTAGAGACCCTTCAGAGTTAAGATATATAAAGTGGTAAAAGTTTTTGAAAATCTGAATAAGAACAATAAAGTTAAAGTCATTAAAATTACTCAGGGGAGTATTGTGGCCCATGATCTTTGTTATTGAAATGCTTTTGAAATTATTTCTTATGTTTTGTGTTGTATCTCTATCAAATCTGCAATAGTTGACTTGCATCTAAATACTCTCTCTTCCCGTAAACTCGAGTTATCGTTCTTAACACGAGTCATCTTTTTCCTTACAGCAGATATTGAAAAAACTTCCGGTTTAATAGCTACCGAGGAAAAGAATGTTGCAGATGACAATCTGTCCAAATATTTTTGAAAAATTAAGATTTCTTTTCCTAAAGTGTTTAAAGGTCATCCCTCGGACAAATGTAACAGTCTCCGACCTATTATGCACAATAAGAAATTTAAAGGTTTGACCGAAACACAAGTTTAACACACGTTAATGATCATGCGAATAAATACCGTATGTAAGGAAAGTAGACGGTGTTGGAAACAAAACTCGAGATTAATCTGAAAATACACTGTAGTCTATGGAAATTGTGTGGAACATGTCGCATCATTGATTGCGGCATCACATTTTCAAGACATTCTACATAGCAGACACGTAGTCGTGGTATCGCTTTTCAAAAGAAAGAAGGGGGGATTGAAAAGTCAAATTTCAAAAAATGGCAAACAAATAAAAGAAATTAAAAGGATTTAACAAAAATTGAGGGAAAAACTGAAAACTATTAAAAAGCGAAGAACATATTTCGTGGGGGAAAAAGGGGGTCTCTATTGTTCTCACTCATTTTCCATTTTCCGTGAAAGTAATACTGCAACAAAAGTGCGGAGGGCAAGGAGGACCTGCGAACCTACTTTCGAATGAGAATTTTCATACTTAATGAGCAGCAAATGACCAGTTATTCTTAAGGGAAGGGAGCACACATTTGATTTTGGGCAAGCATTTTTTTAAATAAAAAAAAACCCTATGTATTCATTGGAAAAATAGATGGGGAGGGAGATGTCATTATAGATATTTAATTATTAAATTGATTTGATTGTCATGATTTTAGTATTATTGTGTTCATATCAGGAACAAAACATATTTTTTCAGCTATCATAAAGACAGGATTATAAATCTTTTTTCTCCCAGAATTGTGAATGAATAAAGTGTACTTTTTTCCAAGGTTAAAAGGTCAAGGACATTGTTTAAAATGTCAAAAGGCTAATTTATTCATGTTGATTTATAATCTTATCAATATATGAACATGGCATAATAATAGTAATGTGATGAAAATGTAAAGTTATATTTGTGTATCAGCTAACTGAATGCTAAAATAGGGGGTAGGGGATATAAATAATTAATAATTCCAAAATATCATGGTAAAAAATATTTTATGCATTTTATTTTTGTACAGTATTGATTAAAGTCATTTTCTGTCAAAGTGATTTTAGCCCATTCTTTTTTTTTAATTAAAAAAAAAATAATTAAAAATTCATGTCTTTATAATAAATGCACACTTAACACAGAGTAAGGTATGTTAAACTGGAAATTTTATTAGTTTATTGCAACTTTTGGAAATAAATCGCTTTTATTAGTAAGCATCTATGTTATTTTCGTTCATCTAGAGTAAAATTACAGTCTGAAAGTGAGATTAGGTAACAGAATTCTTCTTATGGTATAACACCCCCATCACTGTTTCCAACAGCGGGGTTATGAATTGAAAATCCTACATTTTTCAAATATGTATGGTCAAAACTTTATGTAACTTTGGAATTAAAGCCTCCAATCACTAAAGATGAGAAAATATGTAATACTATTTCATTCTTCAACATTGCTTGTTATACATTGAATTCCTTGAGTCGGAAGTTTTACGATACCTGCTATAAGGAACAGATAACTCGTGCTAAGAACGATAACTCGAGTTTACGGGAGGAGAGAATAGCTCCTCTACTTCCTGTGAGATCTTTCACATTACAATGTTCAACTCCCATGAGTACTTTCAATACTTTGATTTTCTCTCTTTCCAGGTGCACATATTCATTGAAACCTTCATCTTTGAAAATATTTGTAGACAGACAGTCATATACTAATCTGCAGTCCTTGTTGACGTGATTTTTTAAATACATTTTCAGTATTTTGTACTGGATGTTGTCATCAACTTTACACGTTTAAGCGAGGAAGACCTCTTCACGCAGTTGAGTCGGATATGTAAAATGGCAGAAGAGAACCAGGAGAGTGTGGAGCCTGTTGGAATATTAACGGCAGCCTATAGAGATCGCTGGGCCATAGCTAGGGGAAAACTTATGGAAGGTGATTATTGATGAAGTAAATACTTTCTTAAAATTGTTCAGTGTGCAGTAAAGTGTCACTACTTTAATTTTTAATTGCAGAATCGACTAATCGCGATTCTTTGGATGCAATAGAACGCTCGATATTTATTTTGTGTATGGACTCGGCTATCCCTGTTGCACTGAATCACCGAAATAGCGTTGACGAAACACAGAGTAACGTAAGGGATGATGTTTCACTCGCCAACCAAATGTTACACGGGCTTGGAACACATCTGAATAGTGCCAATCGCTGGTATGACAAAACTATGCAATTTATCATTTCTGAAGACGGAGCATGTGGCCTAAACTATGAACATTCGCCATCAGAGGGAATAGCCGTAGTACAACTTATAGAACATCTCCTTAAATATACGTGAGTTGTTTGAAAGCATAAAAATGTTTAATTTTCCACTGTTCAGAGGGTGTTGTCAGGATTTGTTTTCAGGGAATCACCAACTTTCATTGAATTGAAAATGGCACAAGTACTGATAAACTTGTGTGACACCATCTCAGTTACCCCTAAAAAATATACACATGTATGAAATTACTGTAACTAGGCAGGGTGTACTTTAAAGAATCTTTGAAAAGTGCAGGGCGCTGTCTATAACTTGAAAGTTATACAGCAGATCCGCACAGTTCCTTCTATTTTTGTGTCAAAATGTTTTCATCAAAGCTGATAACAATCGAAATATTTACCGGTGTTGTAGAGTATGATTTCCCCCATACCCAGCTTTCCCCCCGGACATTGTACTCTAGAGTAGGATTTTCCCCAAGGGGAAATTTCACACCAGAGCCAAATTTCCCCCTCTTTCTTTCTCAGAGTAGGATCCCCCCCCCCCCCCCCTCAAGGACTTATAGAGTCAATATAAATCACAGCCGCAATATTTTTGTGGAAAAAAAGATAAACGAGAAACTGATTTTTTTTAATGGTAAATAAGTGTTTTTCGATTTCTACACTGTTCAGTTGAAGTAAGAATTTTCTAAGCATATAGTTAAAATCATGGAGTCTCAACCCGAATATTTAGCTTTCAAGAGGAATGTAAAACTCCTCAGATTCGATGTCTTAACACCTCTAATGGCACAGCGGTACTTGTATTTGTCACACATTTTAATGTGCAGTATATCAAGGCTATCTAAAGTTTAAAGATTCAATTTGTTTTCAAAGAAAGTCATATTGTTATACTTTTAACTACTTGTATGTTGCTTGATTCCAATGAACGAAAGAACTGTTTGAGTCAGTATCTCATTAATCGTTTTCTTTGGGTGAAAATTTTGCACTACATGCAGTATTTCTGGAAAATTTTACGTCGATTTATTTTTGCGGATCTGGGTCAAAAAGCTGTTGATTAATTTTAACGTTTCAAAATTTTGCGAATTGTCCTTGGCGCTTAAAAAGTTCATAACAGTTCATAAGTTACGCATGTACATACAATAAATTACGCATGTAATACAATATGAAATGATGCCATCGTTCAATAATCAGATCATAAATTATGCACGTACATACCATTGAAAATGCAATATATTATTTTTTAAAAAAAATACGCATGTAAATACAATATTAAACGATGCCAACGTTCAATAAAAATATTAGAAGAGATAAAACATAAAATGTATAAAACGATGTCAGCTTTAACTAACCTTGAGATAAAATCATTCTGTACTGGGTTATAAGAAGAGCATATGATATCGAGTGTGTTGAAGGCACTCTCCACGCACGGATTATAACGGGTAATGAGCTTGTAGTATAAACAGGTTTCTTAAAATGACCACTGCTTACTAGTACTGTCACTTAATAAATTTTACAAAGTTAATTTACAATGTAACAGAATTTGATTTTATCAAAAATAATTATTTTAATGCTTATTTCTGAAATATACTTAAAATTATCTATCTAACAATTAATATTTAGACAATAAAAAGGAAATTGTCAGTCAATATTTATTGAAGGAATTAGTGTCAATCCTTTGCCTCAAAGAACGTCCGACTCGTATGTATGATAGTTGCGTAAATGTGGTAATAGAAGTTTGAGTAAATGCCGAATGTTGTGTGAAAGATTAAGTTTGAGAACCACCGTGTGCAATCCCGGACGTGAATATTAGATGTACTGAACATTCTGTCATCAAGAAAATACAAAGTTTTACTCTGGACTATTCCGAGTTTTAAAAACGTGTGAGCGTGTAATTCTTTGAATTGAACTTGTATCTGTTATATATGACCTTATGTGATTTATTTTTCAAAATACAAACTTTCACGTTTACTCCCTGACCTTCATTAAAATCAATTTAATTTTCATCACAAGTTCACTTGTATTTTTACGAACACCTGTTCACCGGGTTAAAAATAGACACCAGCTGTCAGCAAAATGTTTGTTTACATTTTTTGTTGTCGATTTATTTTTAAGAAAAATATTTTTGCGAAATTTTAGCAAATTTGCTAAAAATTTTCTACAGTAAAAATTTCCAGATTTACGGTAATAACGAATTTGTTATCTTGTTGAAACAAAATAGTGTTCTTGTTTGTAGCAGTTGTACGAGAAACTTTGGAATGAAAATTACAAAATTTTAAATCGATTTTGAATTTGTAATTATCATTCAAACAATTGATAAATGGCTGAAATTTTATTTTGCGCTGGGGTTTAATTATGAAAAAGTCTTTAGTCGTCTTGCTGCCAATAATCATATTTTGTTAAGTAAAGCAATTGAGGAGAACACATTAAAGCATTAGCTGCATAACGTTATCACACTTGAATAAAAAATCATGAACAAGGAGATATTTTTCTTGTATTAAAAAAAAACAAGTTAATTTAGAGAATTTGTGTCCCCCGCTTAGGGAAAAAAGAAGAGCATGCGCAGTTCGGGGGGGGGGGGGGACTCCCCTCCCCCTGAATTTGCAGAATTATTAAATGTATACATGTATATTGAAGCAAATAAAAAATGCCAATATGGATATAAAGATTTGATTGCTTATTCTTTAATACATGTATGTGTATAGAAGATTCTTTTTATATAGAATAATTATCACACTGTAATAATGATTTTATGAGTTTGTACACGCCAGATGTCATAACTTTTTCATTTCATATGTTGAATACATCATTAAGTACCCCCCCCCCAAAAAAAAAGGGGGGGGGGATCGTCCGGGATTTGAACCCGGGACCTCTCACTTGCTAAACAGGAATCATACCACAGAGGCACTTGCTAATATATCAAATTAAATGCAAACATTAGGTCACATATAATGTTTATATTCACGTTCGATATTGTCAAAATTTTACACAATACATGGTGTCTAATTTAGCCTTTACTAAACAGTTCTAATAGATGTAATTAGAATATAAAGTCCGCCGACAACCTGTATTACATGTAATAACTCTCCACATGCCCCTGTGCTAAAAATAGTGCCAAGCGACTTTTAATAAAAAAAAAAAAAAAAAAAAAAAAAAAAAAAAAAAAAAAAACGGGGCGGGACTTTTTGAGAGGGGCGAGAGAGGCCATAGGGAGTTATGGTATAAAATTTCATTGCAAAAGCTCAAAAGCTTCTTGAGATATCGCCCGGAAACGAAAATGTTACAAACAGACAGAATGTAATAATTTACGACCTTGAACTTTGACCTTTTGACCTCAAAATCAATAGGGGTCTTTCTTAGGCCACAGGGAAGTGTTATGTAAAATTTCATTGCAAAAGCTCAAAGGATTCTCGAGATATCGCGCGGAAACGAGTGTTAAAACAGATGGAATTTATGAATTTATGACCTAGACCTTTGACCTTTTGACCTTAAAATCAATAGGGTTGTTCTTTAGGCCATAGGAAGTTGGTATGCAAAATTTCATTGCCAAAGCTCAAAGGGTTCTCGAGATATCGCGCGGAAACGAAAATGTTACAGACAGACGGACGGACAGACAGACCCAAATTGATATCCCCCACTTTCAGTGAAAGCGGGGAACAAAAAAAATAATCAAATCCACAAGACAATGACCCAGTATGCTTCTATTCCTTAACCTCTTGATTATGCACAGTACACGCACATTTTGTCAACTCGACTCCGTTTATTTCCAATTCTGGCATTCTTTACTCATAGACGAAAAGAATAAGATTTTAATGCTTTAAAAAATTGGTTGGACGGTTGCTGAGAAAAAAAAATGAGATTTAAAATTTTCATTTTTCATCCTTCGTATGTTTCAATACACCAATGATCACCATTTTAAAGAAGGGACTCTTGTAACTATGTGTCCCCTCTTCACCCCCCCCCCCTCATAACATAAGTACAACCATTCTATTTTATTGGGTGGGTAGATTGGCTCTGTGGGAAATCGCACTCTATAACTAACCGCCCGGAAAATTGAATCTGGTTTGGGATTTCAGTGGGGAAAATCCTACTCTAGAGTCATTTTTTTCGTGGGAGAAATCCTACTCTAGAGCCACTTTTCCGGGGGGGGGGGGGGGAGATTTTAGAGGGGAAAGCCTACTCTACAAGACCGGTACTCAAATGAATGAAACTACCTATAAATATATTTTACACATTTAAATAAGTATTTTAGTATCTTCCATGGGAAAGGGGATGTGGCCTCAGAAGCTACAGAGGTCTAAAGAATCTTTACTCCTTTTGTCACTGTACGAGTCCACATTAACTGAAAACAGACAAACTTCCATTGATGACTCAGCTAGCCTTGTTTATGCGCTGCATTTCATTCCGGATTCTTGCATTGCATTTTCGACACGTTTTGTTTTCATTTCCGACATTATTATTTTCAATTCCGACATTTAATTTTTTTTTTTACATTTCCGGAATTTTGAGAGGTTTCCTTTCTGGCAATTTAATGTTCACCAAGTTGGTAGAAATAGTATTTAGTTTTTTTAAAGGCCTATATATTCCACCTTAACCTATCTGATCTCAAACTTGAACTGAAAGAATTTTGAATATCTTGATTTGAAAAGGATATATGAGCAAAAGTTTCTAACAGTTACATGTGCCCCTTTTGTCTTATTCAAAATTATAAAACGATAAAAAAATTTTGTATCTTGGTGTATATTTAATTTGTATTTCAAGATTGCAAGATCTTTGAATGTTTGCAATTTACATTTCTGGAAATATTTTCAAATTATCTTAAAACTTGTATTCATTATATATAGACTGTATAATGAACACCACAATATAACCGATTTTAATGATTTAAGTTATAAGGACGCTCTAAGGAATCCTACAATATTCTGTTGGTAGAACTGGGTATTGTGTATGTTTTAGGGAGGAACTCGGAAGGAAATTGGTTCGAATGCAGTCTATTTGCGAATTGCCCCAGCCCCGGCGTCTTCAGTGGAAAATCAATAGCGACATAGGGGCAGACATTGAGGAAGCTGCTGAAAACATGAACAGGTGACTGTCACAAAATTATATTATTATGTATAAAGATAACATAGGATATAATGTCTTGGTGGTGGTCAGGTACTTTTGTTAACTGTTGTCCACTATCACGATCAGGCAAGTTCTTAATTAATTCAGTGTTAAGAAAGCTTGTCTTCCCTTGCTGTTGATACAATAGCAACTAGTTTAAATTGTAACGGGGACCGTTACAGATGTTCCCCAAACATCTGTAACGCTCCCCAACTCCCTTTTGTTGCCTTATCCCCTGTCAAATTCATTCAATCAATTATACTAGTCTTTTCACTTACTTCATATGCGCGCTCGTGTATGCGTGTGCATGCATACCATGGCATTTGTCTACACAATTTATATATCTTTATATTCTAAGTACCAAAGCAACAGTATAAAAAATATGGCTATACCAAAGGTATTAGTCGTTTTAAGCATTACACGTGTGCTAGTGCTTGCATGCACGTGAAAACAATGTCATCTTGTTTAACTATTAATATATCTTTATATTGTCAGTATCAAAGGATTTCATTAAAAAAAGGTTAAAGTAATTTTTAGTATATTAGTCATTTAACGAATTGCACGCTCGCGCACGTGCATGCATATACATGATGATCACGTTGTGTTGTTTAAACTATTAACATATCTTTATATTCAGCTGAGTATCAAAAAATTTCATAAAAAAGTAAAAGTTACGGTTATATCAAATACATGTATATCAGTCATTTAACTAATTGTATGCGCGCGCACGTGCATGCATGTGCATGTTGACCAAGTCATCTTGTCAACATTTTAAAAAGGTCTCTATATGAGCTTCAAAGCATTTCGTAAAAAGATATAATAATTACAGCTATATCAAGTATATCGGTTATTTTACGCATTGCACGAACAAGCACGTACATGTATGTGCATGACGAGCATGTCACTTTGTCTACACTTTTAATTTATCTTCATATTCTCAGTATGAAAGCATTTCATCAAAAAATGTAGAAGTTTCGGCTATACTAATTATATCGGTCATTTTATGCATTGCACGTGCGCGCACATGCATGCATGTGCATGCTGACCATGTCATCTTGTTTACATTTGTAATATGTCTATATATTCTGAGTATCAAAGCATTCCATCAAAAGATATGAAAGTTATGGCTATATCAAGTATATTGGTCATTATAATCATTGCACGCGCACGCACGTGCATGCATGTGCGCGCAAAATGACCTTCGTTCCGCAAATCTACATAACATGCCTCTCAACCCTAAAAAGGTTTTAGGTCAATCGGATCAGTAGTTCCCGAGATCACTCACGGACAAAAAAGTACCCAGGAAGAAGAAAAAAAACTAGAAAGTCTGCTATTACAAGCAATAGCGTATGTCGCCCCGAACTGGCTTTATTAGAAATGGTCAAAAAGTGTATTATTCTGTTGTTGTTGTTGTTATGTCGCCCCGAACGAAGTCGGGCGACAATTTGCTATTGTACGCCTAAAAACCTTGTCCGGGAATTTTCTCGCAGATGGCTGGGACAATCTTCCTGAAACTTTCCACAAAAGACAATCACTAGTTGTACTTGTGCAGTGCAGACTTTCAGTTTCAAAATGGCTACCGTTGCCATGGAAACGTGCGAAAAGTGACGAATTTTGTCCGGGAGTGTTCTCTCTGGTCCCTTGAACATTCATCATGAAACTTTACAGAAATGATGATCAGTAATTGTAGTTGTGCGATTCGCATTTAAAATTTACAAATTGTCAATTGTTGCCATGGAAACAAAGGAAAAGTGAAAATTCTTTAACTTCGATTTTCTCAGTAACTGTCCAAGCAATCATTTTGAAACTTTAATCGATGATTCCTTGCATTGTGTCAAAGTGATTTCTATTCTTAAAATACCTGGAATTGGCCGTACACAGTTACAATAGAAATAAAACAGAAAAATGGGATATTTTATTTTTTCAAAGTTTGTCGCTGACGCCGGGTAAGGAACAAATGATTTAAGAAAAGTCGCTGTCACGTGATCATTGTATGCTATCAGAAGTTTCTTTGAATCAAAGTACTGAAAGGACTGATACGAGTTGATGGTTGTCCAAGCGTAGCTAATTATGTCACAAAACTAAAGTGAACCAAAATACGACTTCGTTCCGGTGACTGAAGCGATGAACTAGCTCCAAAACTTCGTTTGGGGAACATAATAAGACTGGTACAATCTTTCAAACATAAATTATATTTACATAGTGGTACACGCAGTAATTGATGTTTTTGCTAGCTTTTACTGATATGATATTTTTTCAGATTGATAGAGGACCTTGACTTGTATATTCTAAGATTCGAACGATTTGGAAGAGAATTCCCGAAGTCACAGAACATGAGTCCAGATTCCTTCATACAGTTAGCTCTACAACTGACCTACTACAAGTAAGAAAACTCAACATCTATCCTAAGTTATAACACAAACACAAGACAAACATCTTTCAACGTCTAATATTTCACTTTTTTCTTTAAGGTATGTCACTCGTCAGCTTTTAAGAAAAGTTCGGTCAGAACCTTGAACTTCAAAACTATTCAATTCAATCAATATTTATAACAAATTTGAATAAATCAATGGGAATTATACCATATTCAAATTAAAAATGCTCACAAAGTCATAAAGAAACAAGATCTATGGGGGACTTTTTCTTGTGGTGTAAGGATATTTAGAAGATTGATTGATTGATTGTGTTTTGTTTTATGTCCCCCTCGAGAATTTTTCACTCATATAAAGACGTCACCATATACCGGTGAAGGACTTCGAATTTAGACCTTTACTCGGCACTCAGGGCCATTGAGCAGTGAGTCTTCTTTATCGTGCCAAAGCCCGTGACACGGGACCTCGGTCTCATCCCAAGTGCAAAAAGGTTACGCAATTTATGCGCATTAATTTGCATGATTTGTTCATGATACATATTATTCAATCTATTTTACGTAAAATTAAATTAGATTTATTGCCATGATTACATCTGATAAAAAATTATAAAGATTAAAATGATTAACCTTAGAGTTACAATTAAAGTGCAAAAAGGTGATTGTGTTTGTTGTTTTACGTCCCATTCGAGAATTTTTCACTTATATAGCGACGTCACCATGGCTTCAAATTTAGACATTTACTCGGCACTCAGGGCCATTGAGCAGTGAGGATCTTTATCGTGACACGGGGCCTCGGTTTTTAATGTCTCATCCGAAGGACCCGCAACTTTCACTTTAAAGTGCCGAGCGCCTGGCGAAGGAACAATTGCTACCTATTTTTTTATCGACTTAGGTCAGTCGCGGCGGAGTTTCGAACTCACGGCCTTCTGATCACAGAGCGAGCGCTCTACTGACTGAGCTACCGTGACGGCGAAGTGCAAAAAGGTAATGTTAATTGTACCGTTGCTCTGTAAATTGCACACTTACCCCAATTTTCTTTGCGATTTTGAATCAGGCTATTCCAAGTCTTTTCTATGTTTAGCGTCCGCGTGCGCCTTGGTTTTTGACACCCTATATCAGAAAAAACAAACAAAATCAGGTGTCCTGAAATTGTTTATTCTGGTTGAAATCACTGAATTCTGTCAATTTCTCTAAGTATTTGTCTACTTTATGTCATATTTAGAATATTGTAAGCATTTAATACCTTGATTTTGCTGAAGAATAGATGTTTCTTCGAGAAAAATAGATTAATGGAATCAAATCCTTTGAATGACATCACTTTTATGACTATAAAGACTTGTGTTTTATTGTTTGGTTTGTGTGTTTTTTTGCGAATAGGTAGGTAGGTATTTGAAAGATGGGTGGACGCTAAACATAGAAAAAACTTGGAATGGCCTCATGCTATATGAGTACTGATCTAAATATACTTCTCAAAAAATCCTTGATATAACAAATTCACGAGTGACATACCTTAAATTTTTTTTTGAATTGATAAAGGAAAATCCTTATACATGTAATTTGATACATATACATTTTATCACAAACATTTTTCAACGCTATACTCGTATGTAGGGAAAATTCATATATATATATATATATATATATATATATATATATATATATATATATATATATATATATATATATATATATACAATTCTGCCAAAATATGCAAATTTCATTGGCAACTTTTTTTTATAGAATACATAGAAAATTTGTTTCTACATATGAGAGTGCGTCTGTCAGAAGATTTCGTCTTGGACGAGTTGACAATATTCGAGCAAACACCCCTGCTGCTTTGGAATGGGTCCAAGCAATGACCGGCGAAACGAAAGCTACGGTAAATTTCCAACAATACGTAATATATGTTCCATTCCATTAAAAAGTTCCCCCAAACAGCATTATATACGAAATAATTAGCATTAGGTAGTATTATTGTCGAGCTGGGCTGATAATACTCCAGAGGTTTCGGAGAAAGAGTCGAAAACGTGTAAATTTTTATAGAAGCCACAAGCGACAGATGGACACCAGACAGAATTCAATCAGAAAAGCTTAGCGTATGGTTTAAACAATTATCAAGCATTACTAACCTACAGCCGAGACGGTGAAGAACCTATTTCTCTTTTCTAGAAAGTCTTTTTAAAAGTAACGACATTATAAATGGAAAAATAAACATTATGTACATGTAGATGTCAAAATTGATTCTTTCTTGATTGGTGACCCTTTTTTTCAACGCCTCTGGTATCGTTATTATTTATTTAAAACTAAATTATGGAATATATATCTCTTTCTTTGATATCTTTGTTGTGCAGTACTTGCGAAAATGTACATTGAAAACTGCGCTTTAGTTTTACTACATTATAAATGCCCACTTGGAGGACGTAAGGTACGGAATGTTGCGCTCGTCCGAGTTGGTTATCATGTCTCATAAATGTACGGAGAAGGCAGAGCAAATATCCAACGATTAAAACGGGTCTCTCACTGAAACCGTAAACCTTAGAGACTCCAATTTTTCAGTAACTGGAATCTATTCAGTGCAAAAAGATCTGATGACCCCTTACGTGAGTTCTTGCTCTTTTAGTCTTTTTGCTTTCCTTTAAACCCCATAACATAAGGAAAAGTCGTTGAAACACGGAACTAATTGCAGTGGGACCCTTGTCCTTTGACCTTGAATATTTGGTCAAGATCAAAGTCAAGATTAGTTTAACTTTACTTCTAATTTTTAATCTTTTCAGCTATTTCTGGTTTCTTTTCATGACATTTAGCCGTAAAAAGTTAAAAAAGAAAAGAAAATTATATTTAAAGAAGGTACTTTTAATTTTTCTGTGAAGCATTAGTCTACTAGTTGATACTTCATTTTTATCTCATTTTCCTGAAGGGGGGGGGGAGATTTTGTACACGAAGTGCAGTTATTCTTTCTTATATATCTGTATATTAATGTTTTTCAAAAAGGAAGGGGGGCAATTGTATGAAGATTGCGATTGTGCTATGTAAATTCTGTGTTTTATGCTAAAGAAGTATTGAGCTGTGAAGTTTGGTGATATTGATATAGGTCATATAAGAAAGTATATCAAAAAAGTCTATTTTCTGAGTTTGTTTTCTGATTATCAAACTGACTATTTTTGTTTTCTTGTAAAATATCTTCTTTTTCAGTGTTATTGTAATATTGTTATATAATAATGATTTGATATTTTATGGATCTTTTACAGGATTGTTTTATTCTCAGGTGGCTGTGAAAGCCCTTGGGTCTTTTGTTTCCTACATATCGGGATGTAAAATTGCACCCAAATAGTGCCCTTAATCAAAATCCTGGGGGCATGTTTTGAACAAAATTGTGTCCTGCACTAGGATGCGTATTTTAAAAAATGTATTTCTTTATAATGCTCACGACCCTGTTGTTGTCCCATCATACACCGGGGCAATGATTAACAAACCCGAAGGCACACAACCCGAGTTTGCTTGCATTTTAAGGTCAAACGAGGGTTTCTCATTAACATACGAGAGTTGTCCCTCCGTAGACAAGCGTTGTTTTGTAGGAACCGGTACACGGTGCCATATAACAAGGAAACTTTATACATAGATTAAACTAACAATAATTATAGACAAACAGTGAGCAATTACACAGACTAGCCCTATTTAAATTAAATATTTCATTGTCAAGTGTAAGAAGGCGGCGCAGTACCCCAAAATAACAATTAAAAATCGGTAATATTTTAAATACTACAATAAAAGTCTTTACCCGGTACAATGTACTTCCCAGATTTCGAGAATATATTGTTTTGAAACTACTTTTCCTCAAATTTTGTGTAAATGACATAATTAAAAAAGAATTTTATGACGTTAAATACTAGTATCCACCTCTTTGAAATTTGATATGTTGAGAAATGGCGGCTGCGTTGACACAGCCGGCGCACTGAACTGTGAAAAATAGGCATGGTATTCCGAATATATATGTACCTTGTACCTTGTTGATTAGTACACGATTTACTAGTAACTTATTTTCTTCTTTGAGGCCACAGTTGTCAGTGACATCCATTACCTTACTAATGACGTCACTTTCTTAATATCACAGCATGAGCATTTATATATTATTTTAATTGATGTATGTAAGTCAACTGTTATTTCAAGATTTTAAACATGAAAAAGGTGAAGATAACGAACAGCGATCGATAAAAAAAATCTATAAACAAAACAAATTTGTGAAGAAGGTATAAAACACGGACCTCTGTAAATAACAGAGGTAGGGTCAGGTGCCAAGGAGAAGTAAGCATCCCCTGTTGACCGTTCACACCGGCCGTGAGCCCTATGTATTGATCAGGTAGACGGAACATTCTGTAGCCAACCTCAGTATGAAAACAAAGGCCGAACAATTGGTATGAAATGAGTCAGATAAAATGCGACCCAATGATAGGTTATATTTTCTAACAAGGTCATTATAACGACGATAGAATATATGAAATTCTGACTGAAACGAGTTGTTGAAATCACTGTAATATCAAATTATTTGTCAATAGTCTGTTTCAGTTTAAAATATGATCGTACTCGGAGCATTCTCTTGAGTATCGAATAAGTTGGGAGATGTAAATACCATATGCAAGTGATAGCGGGATATTACTACATAAATATGAAACTTGACGATGGAAAAGCTTGTCCTACAATTTAGTTCTTGCTCTAATCGTCTATAGTGAGTAAAACAATCGAATATGAAACATATGTGGCAGCCTTTGTGGTGTCTTTTATAAGTTCTCTGGAAATTAAAGAAACTATAATTGATAATACATCGTCGATATATATTATAAGTAAATTTAATTTCTTTATTCATTGTTCTTACATAACGTTTATCATAATGGCTCACTGCAGTTTTCCATATTCTAATCAGTTATCAGTTTCAAATCTCCCACATTGCTAAAGACGCCATGATTGTTTTCACCAACAACTCGGACAATAAAGAAGAGTTGGTCTTACGGGGAATAACTCTGAATGTACTCAAAAATAATTTTCGATGAACCTTTAATAATAAATAATAAAAATCAAAATAAGACTGATGAATTCCAGTCATGGGCATTCCATTAAAACTTCGAGAATTAATAATAGACAAGATTTTAAGATAGAATGTCATTAAGTTCCATTTTCGTAATTGTTTAGAAAAAAAAGTGGTTGAAAGTTCTAGAATACAGTGATGAAGGTGGCAGAGGACAGTTTTTTTGGCAATCAAAATGTTTGGCTGACGTTTTTCTTAATATTGAGCTGCTTGTAAAATGTGCATTGGAAAATTTTAAATTCTCTCTACATGTAACAATAGTATGGTCTAGGCCCTTGAGGATTTTGAAGCTTTTAGGAATAAAACATGTACAACTTACACAATGAGCCCTAATGATGGCACAGGGACAATCTCAAAATTTCATGAAAATTTAGCCTATTTTCACTATTTCGCCAGATCCGCAACAGCTTCCAGGCCCGTGCTAATGCCCTACGCTACCACACAAAATGCAGACAAACACCTGTACGTACCACTGAACAGCAAGAGATAATGGCTCAACCACCTCGTTTTCAAGCTACAATTCATCCTATGAACCCACCCCGCTTTTCTGGTGAAATACCGGAAGAGTGATTTTTGATCTTAGTTTCGTATTTCTAGTCCATATCCCATAAACAGTGGTAGTGACACTAAAGTGTCATATATCAATAAAATATACAAGGCCACCAATTCCCTCCAAATGCACACATAAAATATTCTAGCAATAAAATCACATATAATATGCTTTCAAACCTTAGGTTTCTCTATTTTTTATATTTTTTGACCGGTACTTAATCCAAAACTATCCTCTGCCACCTTTAACTTTCAAAGTTTGTCTTGCAAGTAATAAAACTTCCTTAATTCAAAAAGTACATGCAATTCTGAGCAAAAATATACCAAATATGTCTCAATTCATTGAAAAATAAAAAAGTTATGGCCAAATTAGAGACCTCACCAATTATCGGTCAACCACCTTAAGCCCATTTTGTTTGTTTCACATAAAAAAGAAGCAATTCTTACAATTCAAAAGGATCAATATACTATCAAAAAAGTGTTAAATGGTAACTTTAATATATTTCAAATACAATTACATGTAGAAAGTCAAATAAAAAGTGCACATCTTGATGAAATGTACTCACATGTATCACATACTCCCCTATTTTTCATGTTCTGTGAAATTCCATTTTATCTCTTTATTCCTTGGTTTTATATATCTACAGCTTCTTTACAAAATTAAAACCTCATTTACCTTTAAGGATATTTAATATGATATGCAAAAACCCCTCTTGCATCACATGCTGAAGAAGAAGTGTCCTGGAAATGGCAGTTATACACCCTACCCCTCCAGCCATTACTCCAGTGTAATGAAAATGCACTGTGGAAATCTGATTTTCCTAACTGCACTCTTTCTAAGTGTTTAATATTCACTTTCAACAATTTTGAGTAATCAAATACATACATTTAATTCTCCTGAATATTAAAAGTGACTATTCTGTCCTTCCTGGGCATTTGTGGGCAGATTACATGGGCCTAGCACAATTCAACAATTACATGAAAATGTACATCTTACTGATATTACCTCATTAAATATGCAATATAAACTCTTTGTTTTGTTATTATTCAAAGAAAAATATACATTCCATAGGAAACAATTGAAAAATTCAGATTCTATTACATTTAAATATAGATAAATAAAAAAAATTGAAAGGGGGGGGGGCATTTTTCATGTGAACATTTATTATAAAGTGGGCCTAATTTGGTAAAATAAAGCATAAAAGTTTTTTTTTGTACTACATATGGCTAGGAGTAGTGACATTTAGGTA